GGCTGGGAGGTGCATTAGTCTGAACAACAGGCGCGGCGGTGGCAGGAAATAGCAACAGCAGCAGGCGCGGCGGCGGCGGGAACTAGCAACGGAGTAGCAGCGGCAGCGATGGCAGTGGGGCTGGGAGGTGCAGTAGCCTAAACGGCAGGCGCGGCGGCGGCGGGAATTAGCAACACAGCAGCAGCGGCAGTGACGGCGGTGGGGCTGGGAGGTACCAGATGGTGCCATTTGCACAGCAATCACATAGTGCTAAACGCAGTGACGTTTCTTATTGGTGCTGCAAATTGTCCACGTTCACATGACTTCTGGGCAGCAAGAGGGGAAAAGCCGTACAATTCCGGACCCTGGTCCGGAAGTGTACAGCATGGTATAAAGTTCACATGGCTGCAAATTCAAATCTGGGAAGTTGTTTCGTGGCTACCGAACTTTGTTGATTGCATCATTTAAATCCTGGCCAGAACCTGCCATAGAATAGGATGCTCTTTTGTCATGGCGGGACCAAATGCTTGCTTGCGTAGAAGCATTAGAAGCTCGACGATTGATACAAACATGAATGTTCTGGTACTCCTACACATTGTGATCATTCTTACTGGTCACATTAGCCAGTTTGCCATGTCATTGAATGCGCTGGAGGTGGCATCCAAACCACGAAAGATCATTTAGACCGGATGTTGCTCCGGACTCCTCCCAGCCTTTTCACTGCACCAACTGTGCCAACTGGTTTGGTAGTCGGTCACATGCATATCGGCACCAGTGCAAAGACAGGGGGTGGAGTATGGCCGCCGCCGCGCCTGCGGTTAAGACTAATGCACCTCCCACATGTTTTAGCTAGTTACATCAACAATGCTGTGCCTGTGGGACGGTGCGAGCTGGTGACTTAACTTGTCATGCTTGAACACAGCAGGAGAGAATCTTTGCTAATTAAACCTTAAATACATGCCTTAAGTATGTAACATATGGCTTCAAATTAACAACAGGGTGTAAGGGAGCTGACCGAGTAAGGCATGGCAACAGGCCAAAAGGAAGTTGCCCTGCTAGCTGGCATATACTGATCTTTTGCGTTGGATAAGTGCAGCTAAGCCTAAGGGCTTTGTTTACGGCCGCGCCTGAATGCATATCAAGTCACTGCAAGTGGCTGAAACGAAGGTAATTCAAGTGCACTCCAGAATCCCGGCAGGGATGCTGTATAGTACATTGTGCACATTGTTATAGAGGTAATATACTATGCAGCATTTCAGAAGGGATTCCGGAGTCCATATGGCATATAATTGTCATTTTTTAGAAAGGAACAAAACATGAACACATAGCCAGCATATGACCATTGGGAACATGACTGAATTTACACATATGAGTGGCGATTCATGATCAGTCATGCTGCACAAGGAGCATGACAACTGTCATGACCATGACTCTGCCTCATGACCGGTAACATGACCGGTCATGAGGCCTCATGAGTGGTCATGAGGCAACATGACCAGATCTATGACAGGAAACCCCCCGCATGACCACATCCATGACCAAGTCGTTCCCCGAGCTTGCTGTGGCCACGTGGAGTTTGCTGGTGTTACCTCATGCAGTGGTGTGTACCCAATTAATGGGGCCATCAGTGCTGGTGGCTCAGGTGGTTTGTTGCTTGTCACCAGTGGCTGCATCCCAGCCATCCCGATGGTGTTGGGAACAATGTGTTCCAAGGGCCATGCACTTACCCGCTGAGAAAGCATCTGCACGTATGGTGGCACCATCACTGTTGAGGTGAGGCTGTCACCTGCCGGCAGGGCCTCGGTAACACCACTGCCTGCTGCTGGGGGCTCTGTTACACTGCCTGCTGGCAAGGCTGCAGTGATGCTGCCTGATGCTGGGGCCGCAGCAATACTGCCAACTGATGGGTCTGCAGTGGCACTGCCTGCTGGCATGGCCATGGTGGCCATGCCTCCTGGCTGGGCATCGCCTACTTTGCCTACTGGTGAGGCCATGGTAATGCTGCCTGCTGGTGGGGCCTCAGCGACGCCACCTGCAGGCCAGGCCTCGGTTACAGCAGTAGTGCCTGCCATAGTGACACTGCCTGTCGGCAGAGTCTCTGTAATGCCGCCTGCTGGAAGGGCCTCTGCACTGCTGTCTGCTGCGACAGCACTGCCTGTTTGCGATGCCTCAGTGATGCTACATGTCGGCAGGGCCTCAGCAATATCACCTGCCAGTAGTAGTGGTGCCTTTGTCACACAGCCTGCCAGCAAGGCCTCGGCACTACTGGCACTGCAATGGTTGTAGTCGACGTTAAAGCCATGAGTCGTTACAAGGGACGGACATTCAGCTCCTCCTTGAGGACCCACAACCTTGTTGCATGCTTTTCCAGCCAGGTTACCTAGCCCGGGCTCAAGATTGAGGCATGCGCCCTGGTGATCAGAGCACTCCTTCGATCTAGTTTGGGATCCCAGCCTTAATTTGCTGACCCCAGGTTCTGCGATAGGCTCCGTGGCAAAGGCAGTAGTGGAGGCGCTATTACCACTGTTGCTTGAAGTGATGCGCCATTTTGACAGTTTGCTGCTGGTATTCACCTCATGCATATTCACCGGTTGTGGCATGGACAATCGTTGCTCAGGCATGACTGGCCCAGCACCAACCCATGGGTCAGTTTCCACCATGGTCAGGCCGAGATTTTTGTCGGGTGCAGCATCACCAGGTGTAGCAAGAGAAGGGGGCATTTCGTTGGTAAGTTGTGGTAAGCCGAGCGGAACCTGCTGGAATGTTCTGCTCCGAGCATCGTTGGTGCCACCGCTACATTTTCTGGCGCTAGTCGTGTCTCGCGTCAACACCTCAGAACCAAGGCAGGTTGATGCCCTCAGCAATAATGACCCACGTGACGATGATGGGGCTCCCAGTAACGGAACCATACACGGCAGCTTGCCGGCACCATCAGCAGTACTGCAGGTAAGCACGGACAGAACTTCTTCATGCACCTGTTGCATCTGCTGCTGCTGTAGCCACACATGGCTTTGCCAGCGAACCACACCAGCCTGCCAGTACTCCATGGCGCGTATCGACTCCCACAATGCTGCATAAATGGCGAATTCAGACACATCATCCTCTTCCATCATCGTTGTAGTAGCGGTACCACCAGCTCCTGTACCTATGCCACTGCCGTTGCTGATAACAATGCTTGCAGCCACGTCATTAGTGATGGTGGAGTGGGCCTCACTGAAGTCCGCTTCTGAACCATCGCCGCCACCTCCTTGCCGGATAAGGACCCTGCCGCTGCTGCCACAACCGCTGCTAAGACCCAGCAGCTTGTCGCTGGTGGAATCACAAGCATTGTGCAGACACTGCTCTGCACCAGTGCTCATGCGGTGGATTTGGCTGGTTCCTGTTTGACTCGCACAGCCACTCTGCTGACCTGTCAAGTTGCTGAGCTGCCTGAACTGTCCCTGGGGCCAATGTGATTGTCGTTTCCCTGCCGACTGACTGAGCCGCTGGCCTCGATCCACTTGGCTCAAACCGGATCGTTGCCCCAAGCCTGTCTGGTAGCTTACCAGACGACTCACCGCGGTAAGACTGTACCGCTGGCCCACCAACTGGCCAACCGGAGCTGAGGGTCCACTACTCCAAAGCACACGCCGCTGCACAATGCGTGACCTGGTTCCCCCGCTCGCCACATTGCTGCTGACACTGGTGACAGGGCCACTGGTGTTGGCATCGGTATCCAGCGTGGGATTGAATCTCACCACCGGCGTCATGACGACGGGTTTCCCGATGGGTACAGGCCGGTACTTGGAACAGGCGAACTCTCGTCCCCCTTCCCGTCCAAACCTCGAGTGTCCCAGGTACTCGAAGCGCCGATGTCCTTGGTAATCCAAGATACGTTGCGCTATCAATCCACACAAATTGTTCAGTTGCTCGTCCCCCAGCATCCAATCGTTATTCGAGACCTGCACGGTATGTTGAGGGTCAAGTTATTCCTAGGTCTTGATCATCCAGGGGACTGTCAGAGGCAGCGAAGGGGACACGGGCGACCAGCAAACCAAAGTCCTTTGCCATTAAGGACAATATCAGGCGTTTTGTACTGACCCGTGCAGCCGATTCCTCGTGCACTTATCTAAGGCCTTGTAGTCGCCCCGGCCTGGTTAACACGTCACGTTCTATTAAGATAATGTGATCAAGTGGCCCAGACGCCTCCCACTCTGTAACAACAACAACAACAACAACATGCTATTAGCTCCTAGGAGCTCTTTTCCAGAAGGGACAGCTTTCGCACCTGTGGCCGGTTGAGACGATGTGAGCTAAAAGATATGAGCAGTTGGTTCAGCTCAAGCCGCCTGAGGGAGGACCTGGAAGCGGATGCGCTGGAGGAGGGAAGGGCAGAGGCAATACCTTGGGCAGTATGCCACATGCCATGTCGCCTTTGGCCGTGGAGGTGCGTGTGGCTCAGGTTCTGGCTTTCACTCCCGCTCTTGCCTTGGCCACGGGTCTGGACCCCGGATCTATTCGGTTGATCTCCCCCTTGTCGGTCCTCCCAACACGCAGCCTCCTCTGCATCACCACTGCTTCCGGCACTCCAACATCCTCCATTTTCAGTGCCACTGCCGCCACTACCACGGTTAGGCCAGCAGCCATACTTGTCAGCCTTCAACACGCCCCAGCAACCGCGCCCACGGGAGTCATTGCAATCGGAGTTGGCGTTGCTGCCACCAGCGGTGCTGCCAAAACTGGGA